TTCAATTTAAATCAAGTTGTTGCTTTCTCTAGTGCTCACTATATAAGTCATGATTGTTCTGTTGAATAGCCGGGCAGAATGTGAAAATAACATAGAGATGACCCCACAATAACAGTAAAAGCTTCATCAACAATTTTCAAAATTTTTTGAGATATTTAAGAAGCTTACAATTAATATTCCATTTAATGAAGCTTTGGAACAAATGCTTAGTTATGCCAAATTTATGAAAGATATATTAAACAAGAAAAGAAATTTTGAAGCTTATGAGATTGTTGCACTAAGTGAAGAATTCTGTGCAATTATTCAAAAGATGCTTCCTCAAAAGATGAAAGACACTGGTAGCTTCACAATACCCTGTGCGATTGGAGAGAAATTTTATGGCAAAACCTTATGATATTTGGGAGCTAGCATGAATCTCACGCCTTTATCAATTTTTTGAATGTTGGACATAGGAGAGATTTCTCCCACCACTGTAATCCTTCAGTTAGCTGATTGATCTATTACTTATCTTAAAGGGGATTATAGAAGATGTACTTGTTAAAGTGGATAAATTTATCTTCCATGTGGATTTAATTGTGCTAAACATGGAAGAAGATAAAAAAATCCCTATTATTTTGGGGAGACCTTTTCTTGCTATTGGACATGCCATGATTGATGTACAGAAAGGAGAGTTAACCATAAGAGTTAATGACCAGAAAGCAACATTTAATGTTCTAAAGCAAATGAGGTATCTTATTAAATAAAAATGTTATAGGATGGATAATTTGGATTATATGATTGCTAAACATTATCAAGAAAAATGTGAAGTCATTTCTTTAAATGAAGTGATATTAAACTAGGAAGGAATTGACAGTGAAATTGAAAGTGATTGTCGGTCTCTAAATTAAAAATTTTCGGTCGCCGAAATGGATATCTTGACGCCCGTTTTTAATTTAATATATATATATATCCTCAGCAGTTTAAATAACGAGCCTAATACCGCAAGCAATACATCTATCCCGAAGGGTAGATACACTACTTACTGGTTACACTACTTACTGGTGGTAAGACTCGATTAAATAAACTAAAGAATTTATGACATCCGTTTAAGTCTGCGAAAAACCTTTTTTTTGTTGACCGACAGTCCCTCTATTTAATACAAAAAATTAAATAGGGTTTATATTAAGTTGGATTCTTAAAAGTTTCTTATAAGGGCAAACCCCTATAGTTAATTACATCTTAGATAACCGAAGTCACATAAGAAAACTTTCGATAAAAATCATGGGATTTTATCTTCAAGAATTTCAAAGAATAGGACTTTTTAAAAGATCGGACAAAGAGGTGTGATATGAGATGACTTAAATTTGGAACATTTATTTTGAAATTCAAAGGAAGGAGAACTAAGGGATGTCATGGGTCCTAAGGAGAACCTCAGCGACTTCTCAAGCTATCCTATGCTTTGGCTTCAGTTTTGAGAAGAAGGATTATTTATAAATTTCATTCTATCAATTTTATTAATTAGGGCTTAGATTTATGCGAGATGGTAACACAAATAGCGTGGAACATGTGAGGATTTAGGTCGTAACAAATGATAACCTTAGAATCCTAAGGCGAGTTAGGGCTTAAATTATATATCACAGCTATACAAAAGCCTAAAAAGATGAGTTGAGGATTTATGTCGCACTAGGAGGACAACCTCGAAATTCTACGACTTGCTGTTTAATTTATAAGGAAAGATGTGTTATTGTAGATCCTCATGTTGTTGTAGAAGGTTGTCCACAAAGTTAGCTCCAAGCTCCTTGGCAAAGTAGCAGTCTTAAAGTCTAAAGTTCAAAAGGTTTATATGACAAGTTGAAGTTCAATTATTGGGGGGGGGGGGGGGAAGGGGAGTTGTCGGTTCCCTCGTTCTGATATCACTATTTTATTTTGAATTTACTTAGCTTAAATGAGTTGTGAAACATATTTAAATTGGGGAGATCTCATTAGCAACCGTAGGTTACCTCCTCTGAGGGACTCCCATAAATTCAAAAGAAAGTTTTAAGTTTAATGAAATTTTAAAGGATTTATGGTTACCTTTGAAATAATTAAATGTTTATTTTTTTCTAAAAATGTTGATTAATTTTTGGAAAAAAAATTGTTTTGATTTTGCAAGTGAAGTAATGAACTCACCTAAGCAGTTTATAACTGAAAGTAAAATGACAAAAATTAAGTAACACTATAAAAGCGTATCTGTCATCTTCTCCTGTGAACACGTCCTTGTCATCTTCTCGACATTTCGGCTGAAAGATTAGCTTTTGCAACAATTATATAATTTTGCAGGAAATTTAAATAAATTACAAGAGTAGATAAAGGCGTATCTAACAGCCCCCAAACTATGACTTACTGAGTCATGAAAGATCTTAGTGGATGATTTTAGAACAAAATGTAACAATTTTAATTTGTCCTCCGAAATATCCAAAAGATTTCATAGTGTTCGGGGAATGACCCTGAACTGCTTTAAAGATCTCTTGAAACATTTCGAGTTCATTTTGAAATTGTTCCATTAATCATCCAAGGTCAAGTTAAAAATTACCCCGTTACTCTGTGAACTTTGACATTTTCATCTTCCCAAGGGCAATGTACTTCGTTAATCAATTGATAATTCATTTAAGAGGTTATATAGGTGAATGTCCCTAAGACAAGTTTAAGTGATTAAATATTTTATACCCACCACTAAAGTTGGGCTTGTAGTGCTTGGAGGTGTTTATCATCAAATATGTTATTCTTTCTAAATTTCATCAAACAAGTTTAAATGTCAAACCTAGATCAGTTCCAAGCCCTTAACAATTTCAATAGGAGAATTGAAAATTAACAAAATTTTTAACTTAAGTGATATGTATTCTTATTGAAAGATCATATTATCTTCTTTTTTTGGTTTAAAATAAATGAATCATCGTCTTCCCAACTTAAGTCCGTCATTTCAAAATCATTTAATTTTGATTAACTTCCAAATCCTGATAATTTAGAAAATTATAATTTTACTCTTATCATGAAAATGTGGCAAATTAGTTTCTACCAGTTTCTACCTTTTAACCTTTTAACCCATTATGTTTCAATCATCCAAAAGTGCTCATTAAGATCAAAATTACACATTTCTTTGATTGATCCTAAATTTTGATTAAGGCACAAGAATCTAAAATGACCATTTTGCCCTTGGGGCTCTCCACTTCATAACTCATTAAACATAATTTAAATGACTTTGAAAATTTTATAGTACTCTGTCCATGAGGCAATTAAAACATCAGAAGAGAAAATGTGGTTTTCAAATTTTTATTTAATTTAATTTAAATAATTATCTTAACTTAGAACATAAGATTTTCAACATTAATTTATTCAATCAATCAAAATAAAATTTTTGTTTATGGGAAAAATATTAAAGGTTCACTTAGGTCAGAGAAATACTTAGGTAAAATTCCATGATTTTCCAAATTAAATTTTACAATTATTTATTGATTTTTAATGATTTAATTAAATGGAAAATATGTTTTAATTACAAAAATTATTTTTTATGTTTATAATAAATCCTTATGAGTTCAGAGAACTCAAAGAAATAAATTTTTATATTTTTATGATTTTTAATTTATTTATTATAATTATTTTAATGGGAAAATAAGAAAAATACACTTTTAGGCATTTAAAAATTTATTTTTAACTTAGAAAAAATGGGAAAAATATTTTAATGAGTCTTAAGTGATCAGAAAACCATTAGGCATATTTTGAAACATTTTTATATTTTTGGAATTTTTAATTATTTTGAATTATTTTTAAGTCAAATTTTAGTTCAAAAATGACAAATGAAGTATTTTTGCCAACATATTTTTTATTTTTCTTAAGTGTCCCTGATCACAAGGAAAACAGAAAATCACTTTTCATAATTTTTGTAAGTGCATTTAATTTAATATAATTTTTTTTGTAAAAAAAATAAACAGAAAATCACTTTTCATAATTTTTGTAAGTGTATTTAATTTAATCTAATTATTTTTGTACAAAAAACACATTTTTTTCTTAGAAAATTAACTTTATCTACAGAATGTGGAATTGATTTTTTTTAATTTTTGATTAATATTTAATTTTAAAAAATTAATACAAGATATAAAAATTTAACTAATTATAAAAATGCACAAAATTATTTTTGGGTTATTATTTGGTTATTTTTGTGTTATTTAGTAGAATTGAAAGATAACCCAAAAAATAACCCAATAAAACCCCAAAATAACCTTAAAATAATCTGAAAATAATACGACAATAACTATAAAATAATTTGAAATAATCATAAATCCTAACCCTAAAATGACCCAATATAATTATTTAATAATCTGATAAATAACTCGAAATACCTACTACAACTCTAAAAAAAACAACATCATAGAATCACGTAAGTAAAAATCTAATACACAAAACAACATACGATACCATAATATTTCAGAAAAAGGTAAGCTCACCTTCGTCCCAAACTCATTCTCATTATTCTCGTAATCCATAATCGTTTTTTCTTTGTTGAGAGAAATTCATCTCCATCGCAGCAGCACAACGTACCTTAGCGCAGTGAACCCTAGGAGAGCAACGACGAAACCCTAGGGGAGCAAAGAACGAGGATGGAAGCTTCTGACACTGGACTCGAGAAAGCCTAAAAAATTTTCTTAAAGGCGGGATAGTCAATGCCTCGAGTCGCACCAAAAAAAGTTTTTTAATTTTTTTACAGTTTCCTTGCATAAGACCTGCACATATAAGAGAAAAATTTGCATACGTAAGACGTATACAACGCTGCGTACGTCAGAGATGTTATTCAGAGAGTATTGGGGGGTTATATCCCCGTTATACTTCTTAACCTCCGTCTAACCTACCTGTAATCTATAAATATATGAAAATAGAAGTACAAAATTTACTAGAAAGTACAGATATGTTAGAAGAGAGATTAGATGTATTAAACTTTGTATAACTCAAATATAACTCGAGTATCAGCGATGCCGAAGCAAATTTTCCTGCACATATAGGTGGCAACCTGCGGACAGCCTCTCCGACATCCTCCCCCTCCACCAGTTCCGCCCAAACGTGCCATCGCTGTCGCTTGTCACTACCACCCCCACTGGTTTCGTCCGAAACCATCGCCTTCGTGAACCAACCTTTGCGATACAGTGGCCATTAGTGCTACAGCTAGCTGGGAAGGAAACGACGGGATCGTGGCTTATTGAAACCACTGAAACTCCCATCTTTATCATCCTTCCTCTCCTCTCGTACCAGAAACGATTGAAGAAGGTAAGACTGTTCGCGCCACCCTTCCTTGGATTTTCGCAAATCGGCGTTATTTTGCGATTTACGGGAGCTCAGGATTTACGGAGGCATTTTTTGCCGTTTGGCTTGGCAGGATTTAGCATAAATCCTGCATAAGTTCTGCTTAAAACCGGCTGCCGAGCAGCCCCTTTGAATTTCGTAGAGAATGAGAACCTGCTTCACCCGTCATGAGGATCCCCATTCTTTTTGCTATAAGGCGAAAGCTCAAACCTTCCTTAATCCAACATATTTGGCCTTCTGCTACTTTCTGTGACAATCGGTGCAGAACAGATGACGATTGTTTGAGGGACCGTCAAGCTAGCTTGCTTTTTGGACCCATTTCTGATGAATCCCTTCTTGGTCTTCCTTCTCCTGCAAGTGAGGAAGGCGAGGAAGAGGAGCAAGACAGCTGCAGTCCTCGTAAAAGATTTTTGGCAGGGATTAGAGTTCAAGCCAATCAAATATTTCATGTTCTCCAGCAGGATGGACCGGGATTCAATGCCAGAGAAGCTCTTGATGCTCTTAAAGTGAAGATCTCCCCCGCTTTGGTGCGAGAACTTCTACTCCACATACTAAGGTCCGTGAATGGTGCAAACAAGCAACGATTTTCGAGACTGGGGTACAAGTTCTTCGTGTGGGCAGGACAGCAGCAGGGGTACAAGCACACCCCTAATGCCTACAATCTCGCCATGAAGATTTTTGCCGAGTCAGAAGAACTGAAAGCCATGTGGAGATTAGTCGATGAGATGACTCAAAATGGGCTTCCCATCACTCCTCGCACCTTCAACATCTTAATTTCCGCTTCTGGAGAAGCCGGCATGGCAAGGAAAGTTGTGGAGAGATTCATTAAATCTCAGGACTTCAACTATCGACCGTATAAGCATTCCTTCAACGCCATCCTTCATTCTCTCATCATCATGAATCAATACAGGTTGATCGAATGGGTATATCAGCAGATGCTCCTTCAGGGATGCGAACCGGATGTCTTCACCTACAATGTGGTATTATGTGCAAAATTCAGGTTGGGGAAGTTGGATCAGTTCCATAGACTGCTCGATGAGATGCGAGACAAAGGAATTACACCAGATATACATACCTATAATCTCCTTCTTCATGTTCTTGGCAAAGGTGATAAACCTCTCGCCGCTGTCGAGTTGTTGAACTACATGACCGATGTCGGGTGTCATCCGACCGTGCTCCATTTTACAAACTTGATAGATGGTCTCAGCCGCGCTGGAAATCTCGATGCCTGTAAGTATTTCTTCGATGAAATGATTAAGAAGGGGTGTGAACCCGATGTAGTTTGCTATACTGTCATGATAACAGGATACACAGTGGCTTCTGAATTCGAGGAGGCTCATAAGCTGTTTGATCAAATGCTTGAAAGAGGGCAGCTTCCCAATGTTTTTACATTTAATTCTATGATTCGTGGACTTTGCATTGCTGGTAGATTTGATGATGCATGCTCTATGTTGAAGGATATGGAAAATAAAGGCTGTAAACCAAATTTTTCTGTGTATAGTACATTGGTTAGCAGGCTTAGAAATGCAGGAAAGGTTTCTGATGCAAATGATATAATCAATTATATGGTAGAGAGGGGTCACTATCTTCATCTATTAACAAGGTTCAAGGGGTATAGGAGATGTTAGATAACTGGAGATAAGCTTCAAAGAGTTCTCTACAAGCTTTGGAATATCATCAACTTCTCAAGTAGGAAATATTTACATACATACAACACAATTCTCTATGTCTTTACATATCCATCACTCAAAGTTTAATATTTACATTTATAACACTTTGGCGTCATAAACCTATGCATGAAAATGAGTACTTTTCTTTTAAAAAGATAGCGATGATGCTATTTTTGATGTGTTGTTTGATTTTTTAGTGGTATGCATGTAAATTTGAATGTTTAGGTGTTAGAAATGTTAATACATAAGAATTGTGTGGTATGCATGTAAACGCCCCTTCTTTTTTGTACACTTAATATGCAGGACTAGCTTCTATTTGTAATTTCTTTTTAGCTTGAATCCCATACTTATATGAAAGCTGCAATCTGTTTCAACTTAGGGTCTGTTTGGGGCAGCTGTTGATTATTTATAATCTGCTGATAAGCAGATTATTCTGATAATCTGATAATCTGATAATTATCAGAATAATATGGCTTGCTGTTTGGGGTAATTTATTCAGAATAGCTTATTGGTAGTTATAGTTGTATAAATGACATTCCTGCCCCTGTCTGATCAAACTGTTTGGGGCAGCTTATTCAGAATAGCTTATTGGTAGGACATAATCATATAATGTAGAAGCATACTATCATCACAGATCAGGTCCAAAAGATGACATACAGTTTTCACACTCTGGTGAGTACCAGAAGAAATAAAAAAAAGATAAAGACAAGTAAAGCTACAATGAGAAATATTAAAATATTTAATTTTAAATTTTGGCTACGCCTGTCCTCTGCTGCACTATCAAACTAGGAAAATATCAGATAAGACAAGTAAAACTACAATGAGAAATATTAAAATATCTAATTTTAAATTTTGGCTATGCCTTTCCTCTGCTGCACTATCAAACTAGGAAAATATCAGATTCCTATGACTGCTGACGGTGTGATATGTGGGACTGTTAGCCCACCAGAAGAAACCACAATGAGCTGAAACTCCCTTGGCACAACCGTAGAACTGCCTCCCAAAGCTATGAGACTGACGCGACGTGAACAACGAAGCCGGTATTCCACAATAACACAACACAAAATACCTCTGTCTGCCGAAGTGGGCAACGGGATTTCAATTCCGATGACCGACAGCTTCTTACGGACAAACTCCACACCAAAAATATCTTATATAAAAAAAAATAAATAAAATACACATAAAATTTGATCTACATATATACGAAGAAAAGAAAGACTTGTTGGATTAGCTGCCATATATAACATCTGTTATAGGTTCAGAGCAGCCATCTTAGCCACACCCTCCACGTCATGAACTTCAAATTCATTAAATTCATTCTCATCCTCAGGAACTGAAGGCCCGATCATGATTTCTGATGGTTCTTCATATGATTTCTGATGGTTCTTCATAGACAGTCAGCTCTTTGTTATCAGCCATACTAAAGTCCGTATCTGAACGTGAAGGATGTCATCGGATGAAGTTATGAAGTGCCATTGTTACCATCCACAATATGCACCTGCTTCTGAAATGAATATGACAATATATCACGTAGGATGACTCATTTCTTCTTCGAAACCCCAAACGTTCTTTCAATTACCTCACGTAAAGAGTAGTGTCGTTTGTTAAACATTTCTTTCCTACCACGAATAGTTTCATTTGCTTGCTCAAAATCAGGAATATGATACCTAGTGTCTGGATATGGCTTCAGATAGCCCCTTTACATAGCGTATCCAGTATCAATCAAATAGTATTTTTCTGTTATGGACGATATTGTTATTTGTAATAAATACCTATAATTTTGAATTGTATAAATCAAAACATACTTGAAGGCGGATGAGGAAAACCCTGCAATCTATTCCTCTTAGCATAGGAGAAAATCCTACTGTCATGTGCACTCCCTTTCCAGTCCGCCATAACATATGTGAAACAAATGTTGAAGCAAATACAAAATCACATACCGCCATGGTATTTTGAGTCGTTGAGCCACTTCGACCAATGTAAGCCATATTGTCCTGGCTGGGTATTCGGGCATCAACGTGAGTACCGTCAATTGCACATATGCAGTTCTGTTTTACAAGGTTAAAAAATATTTATATTTTGATATGAAAGTAAATAAAAGAATGATTACCTTGAAGTAAGGCATGTAATGGGGATCGACTGCGATTTGTCTTGGAGTATTAGCAAATGATGGATCCTTTGGCATGATGATTTTAGCGGCTAAGCTAGCAAGTGTCTGTATGTCTTTGGAAAAATAACGGCTTATTGTCTCCGATGAATGTTGAAATCTCTCCATAGCACCCCTAATTGATTTCTTCTGTGACAGAATATATAGTGTTATAGCTAATACCTCCCTTCTCGTCGTTCTCGAATAACCTTGGAGTCCATGATTCAGGGATAACTCGTGCAGCGGATCCATAAAGATCGGTATTGTCATTCGAAATATGTTACTGAACCTAATAGGATGTCCAGAAAGCATTTCGCCTACCCATTTATCCCCAACAAAGCTAGAGGTCATTCAGGGTATACGAAGTCTGCTTGACCGGTAATACTCCAACAGTAATATGACAATAGCTGCAACCCATGCCATTCTCTTACGACGTTAATGTTGTGGATCCATCCTAAAAGGAGAAAGATCTCGGTTAGTTCATCAATTATTAGTCAATAGAGCGAGAGAGAATAAAGGCTGAGTACTCAACAAGTTAGAATAAAAAAATGTAGAGCTCTACTAATATGCATTCAGAAATCAAGTATAAGTTCATTAAAAAAAACACAACTACAAAAAAATGTTTAGTACATCAGTTTGAAGAGTACAAAATTCATTTCTTAAAAATGTCTAAAAACTCAATCATCCACAATAACACGTAAATATTCGACTCGCAACTCTAGTTCCATCGCCAGAAATATGTGCCTACGTGTTGGATTCTCAAGTTTTTTCATACATACTGCATGAAAGCGTTTATCTGCTACTACTTCAGGGATGGTAGACAACGTTCAAAGACAATCGAAGATAGTGGTGAAAGCCGAATGCATGGGGATCCTCGCGTCCAACTTCGCAGAACAAAATATAATACACGAGCCCTAAACACCAGTCGCGAAAGCCAAACGCACGAGGATCCCCGCGTCCGACTCCGCAGAACAAAATATCATACGTGATTATCGTCGTTTTGGTGACGCGCACGGAACGTCTTTTCCAAACGACACGTTTTCAAAACGCCGCCGCACTCTGCCCCAAACGGGCACTTAGAAACTGAATCGGTGCAGAGTCAACCAAGTTGCCTATGCTTTATAGGTTGCTACATTATTTTTTAAGGATGTTTAACTTTGCAAGAAGCATGATATTGAACTTTTATTAATGATGGCAGTTGCTCTTCTTCAACCTGATTAATTTAGAGACCAAGAAATTTGAGTTCTGTATGTATAGCTGTAGCTGAAGATTTAATTGATGACATCATGAAACAAAAAACCAACCATGCCATTCTATTAGTATGCATATTTTATATTCACATTTTTATGCTCATATTGCTCATCAAAGCCCTTATTAAGGGTTTTTTTTTAACTTTTAATTTATTGATTCGACAAATAATTATGATAGCATATGATATTTAAATATGAATGTACGTGTACCCTTTATAAAATTAAGGGTCATAACTTATTTGCTGTGGAGTAAAATATAAAATTTTTGCGATCATTTGTGGAGTTATTATTCGATAGTTTCACATGATTTTGCTTTGATGTGGGAAGTGCTAATTTTAAATTTGATGATTTGCAAATTGCTGCATGCTAGTATTGTTGATTTGCATTGCTTGATTTGAAATCAATAAAATAATATATGCTAGCTTGTGTTATTCTTATGTTTTCATGGAAATATTACTTGTTAAGATTTTCCATAATTTTATCGATGAAAATCTATTTTTCCTTGTGCTATTTCCACGTTTTTGCTCCGCACTTGTAATATGAATGCATTGCAGACCTTTTAACCCTTTTTTGGTCAGTATAAAGGGCTATATAACTAATGTTTTTTGGATTAGTCATAAATGGGATACCTAATTTAGTTTGGGTTTTGCCAATTGCTTATTTTATCTAGTTCTTTTGAGTATATTCTTTATTTCAACATGGGACAAGTAATTGGGTTTGTTAGGAGTTATTGTTTGGAAGGTAAACGTCTTTATGGTAACTTCTTATTGTATATATACACTATTTCAATTTCTTAGCCTATGGAATGCTAATCAGAATCTTTCTTGTGATGTGAAAATTTCATGTTTTATACTTAAAAGTCTTTAAAGCTTATTTGGGATTAATTTTCTTTTTTCTTTTTTCGGTTTGTTTTCTTTATTTTTAAAACATGTTTGTTGGTATGTTCTTTACATAATTTTTTTTTGTTTCTACAAACAAATTAACATGTTCTTGAAAATACTCGAAAGAAAATTTAGGTGTTTTGAGTTTTTTAAAAATTAATTATATCTTAATCAAACATAACAAATATGTTTTGTTTCAAATTAAAACATAAAATAAAAACAAAAAAAAAAAAAAGGAAAAAATGAAAACTGATTATCTAGACTGTATGATTCTCAATAAACAGCTAACGACTTAAGACTTCCGTTTCAAATAAAATTTTGTGCAATCTCTGACCATTTTTAACATTAAAAACTAAAAGTTGTCATCTAGGTAATTACTCTTTTATCTTACTTCTCCATCAGTTCAATTTCTTCTATTTCTTCATGTGAAAGGGTGGACCTTCTCTTATTTTACCACTTTATCACTAAACTACCAACATTTGCTCAACAAGGAGCAAATGCTTGCTTGATGAATAGTTTAAAGTTCAAAGTTAAGCCATAAGAGCAATAAAAAAGTAATGGGGTTTTTACATTCCAACCACCCAAAATATTGAATATGACCTTTTAACCACAGAAACTTTAAAGATAATATTTCAGAAACTTTGTTTCTTACAACCACCCTCATTTACTGATTAATGGAGTCTTTGAGTGAAAGTTTAAGATGATTAAAATATTATATTTACAGCTTTGGGTGGTTAAAATGTTATATTCAATATTTTGAGTGGTGCTTATTTAAAAGTCTATTTTATAGGATCTACTTGCCTTTTATTTAATGCATGAATCCTTTTTGATGCTATTAT